AAAACATTAAAAACATCACATGCCTGTCTGCCTTTTCACAGAAAGCACATTTGTTCCTCTACAGCTATTCCTATAGCTCCTTAATATAATTTTCTACAAAACATTTAAAAAGACATAACAAGAGAACAACTTTGTATATACCTTGAAGTATTTTTATTTACTTTTCTACTTAATGGTGTCTGCTTACCAAGTGTTTGGCTCTGTTCGGTATCTGTGACAAACTCAAAACAAAAGGGTGAGGGCCGGGGAAATGGCTCAGTAGAATAAGCGCTTGACTGGTAATCGCAAGGATCTGAGTTCAATCCCCAGTTCCGCAAAAAAAAAAAAAAAAAAAGGGTGTAGGCCTCCCTGGAGTACAAGGCACACGACCCGGAAGCTTGAAGTGTGGAGAAAGGTGTGTGTCTTTCCTTCCTTCCTGGACCAGCTAGAGGTTATCCCGGGTAGCTGACAAGGCTAGGCCAGGCCCCAGGGGGGGGATCACCATTGTGCTGCCACCCCCTGCACAGGGTTCTTGTTGGGCTTCTCTCCTTTCTGCCTGTTGTGCACTCTGGGTCATCGCAGCCTTTGACCCACTTACTTCTTAGCACCTCCCGGTCTCTCTGGTCTCCAGTCTCTGCTTCTTGCTGGAGAGGGAAGACCCGCTCCCCACCCCCACCCCCAGTGTCTCAGGAGCTTATTGTGTTTTGTTTTTGTAATACTGGCCATTGAACCCAGGGCCTCAATGGTGGGCAAGTGCTCTACCACTGAATTGCATCTCCAGGCCTGTGTTTGTTTGTTTGGTCCTAGGCATTGAACCCAGGGCCTCTGCTCTGAGCTACATCCCTACACCTAGTAAGACAGTCTCACTAAATTGCTAAGTTCCCAGGCCAGGCTCAAACTTGCAGTCCTCCTGCTTCAGCCTCTGAGTAGCTGGTCTGATAGGTGCATGCCCCTGCACCTGGCATCTTTGTTTCTCCCCGCACTGGGACCTGTGAGAAGGGCTGCTGAGCATGCACTTTCCCCTTCCAGCCTTGGGGCCCAGCGCATGGGCAGTGCACACTTGGAGTACTCAGCGCTTGTGTGCAGATCGCATCCAGCCAGAGAGGGGAGACTGGCCACAGACGCAGCTGTACACCATGCTTCCTGCCCTGCTCCAGGCCCTGGTGCCCTCTGTCTTACCCCTAACTGCCTTCTGAAATGCCTTCCAGGTACAGCAGCAGCCCCTTGAGCTGGTCACTGTGCAACAGGAGCTTCCCCAGGAGGTGCACCAGGTGCACCTTGAGGTCCTGGAGCTGCGGCAACAAGTGGCAGAGCTAGGGAAGCATCTTGGTCCAGCCTGGCAAGAAGGAGGGGAGCCTTCAGACAGGAAGTCACTCAGGAAAGAGGTGAGTTCCCCTTGCAGCTAGCTGGCACTGCTGAAGCCCTGCTGAGTTGCTGGTCTTTGTGGGCTGCAGAGAAGGTTGTCCCCAGAGGTCAGCCCCTGCTTCTGTCCTCTGTGAGCATCTCTTGCTTCAAGTCCTTCCTGAAGAGTCCTCCCCACCTTGTCTTCAGGCAGAGCCCCTTCCAGGGCACATCCACCACACAGTCTGTCATGCCCCTCACCATCCAGCTATGAGCTGTTGCAAGGGGCCCTGCCTGTGGGATGAGGGCACCCATTGCAGACTCCAGAGCCCAGCATGGGCTCCCATTCTGGTGTCTAGCAGCTTCAGCACTGCATGCCACCCAGCCTGTGCCTACATCTAAGCAGGACTGTCAACAGGCCCTTCCCTCTACCCAAGCCTGCTACTGCCCAGAGGCCCTGCCCTCTACCTGCAGTGCTGACCTGTGGTGACCCAACCAACATGGGGTTATGGTACTGACCTGTAGTGACCCATGGTGACTTTCAGTGACCTTTGGTTACCTGTAATGAGCTACAGTGATCTGTGGTGGCCAATGGTTTTAGGGACAAGGAACAATATCTATAAGCACTCAGAAATGTCTGGCAGGAGCCATCAGAGGCTGAAGACAGTGCTCATGTCCCTAGGGCACCCAGCTTCTGGAGCAGGTACCCAGGGACACCAGGGGGATGGAGCTGCCTAGGAACAGGTGCAGATGAAATAGGCATGGTAGAGGGGCAGAGGGGCTTGAGGTCCAGCTAATACTCAACCATCAGGCACCAGAAGGGCCCAGGCTGGCTACTAATATAGCACTGAGCTGTGTCGTATTTCTCTAGACTCCATAATCCATCCACTTCAGTTCATTCCTACCCTGTGGAATGTATTGGACTGCAGACCTAGCTCACGGGTGGCAGCTGTCTCTGTCTGGCTTCCTACGTACCCAGATGCAGCTCTTACAGACAGGGCAAGAGAGCCCCATCAGTACTCTTCTTCCCACGTGTGCAGAGTAGAAGGGCCAGATCTCGTGCAGATAAACAGGACCTAACCCTGAGCTGCTGAATCTGAAGTGGCATCAGGCTCTGTCTGGTCCTTCACAGCACAGGCAAGTGGACAGGCAGCTAGACCTCAGCATCTGCAGTGTCAGGTCCAGTGCCAAGTCTCTCCTGCTCTTTTGGATCTGAATATCCCTGACCATGGTAAGGTAGGAGGTCATTCTTGGGGTGAAAGATGGGAGGTTCAGGGAGACCCTGCCTGGGTCAAGTACTAGGTCCCAGGCTTGTCACCACCAAAAGAAGAGAGAAGGAAGACCAAAAAGACAGGGCTCCTGGGCTGCAGGTGGTGCTGGCGTCATCCATGCTAGTGATATCCAAAGTTGTCATTTCAGATATGTGGGGAAGGGGAGGGAGACACGTATGCTCACGTTTGCAGTGCTGTCCTTGGACGGTCCAGAAACGGACTCTGGCAGCCACAAGCACTTGTGCCCTGAGGCTGGTTCTGGATTTCCTGCTCTGCCCCTGAGGGACCAGGGCTCCGTGGACAGTGCCAATTCAGTGTAGGGCACACTAGGAGGAGTCAGAAGACACTCTGCTGACCAAATTCAGACCAATGGGTATTGCTGGGGAGGATTGAAATGCACTGGAAACAGGAAATTACAAGGTCACGTTGGAACAGATAAGCAGACACATCAGAATATCAACCAGCAGTGTTCAGGGATGATGCAACCAGCTGGGCAAGTGGAGTGCGTGTAGACTAGAGGCAGAGGGCGTTCCTGGTCTCCAGTTAGTGTCCCCCGCAGACCTCTCAGTTCGCAAGGAGAAGAGTGAGACATGAGCTTGACCAAGCTTCCCAGTGTCAGGACACACCATTGTCTCATCCCTCTGGTAGAAAGCACCAGACTCATTCCTAGGCTCCGACCAGAAATGCAAAACCTGAGGCCGAGCATGAGGTGGCCTCAAATAGGCCCAGTGGAGAGACATGACACACCTGAACTCCAGGGCATCAATGGCAGAAAACAGACATGGGGGAGCTGGAGAGTGCAGTACATAAACATGTGTCCCAGAAGGACACTCAGGCTGGGACAGATATAGGCAGGACCCATGGCTAAATTCAGTCTGATCTGGGACCAGGCTGTGTCCACACATTCCATTTAGAAGCCTGTTTACTCTTAGATACTTGAAGAGAAATTTTACACAAAGTGGGGGACAGTCCTGAGAGGGGTGGACCTCTTTAGGCTGGGAATCCAGGGAATCCCTTACTACCCTTGCAGGCTCCTTGCCAAAGGCTGGCCCCTCCCCCTGCCTAGCCAATCTCTCTTCTCTGTGCAGCCCCGCAGGCCTCTGGGCAAGAGAAGGGTGGCTAGATGAAGTGTCCTGCTCCCCTAGCTGTATCATCAACATCCCCTTGCTTCTGGCCTTAGGCCTTTCTGCCTGCTGCCTGCTCTCGCCAACATTAGGGGTGGAGGGGTCCATTGTGCATGAGGGGGCAGTACTGTCCGGCTGCAGGAGCAGAAGCTGCCTCCCGTGAGCCCACTGGCTCTCACCACTGCCTCTCACAATGGCATTCCTGATTTCCTTGCTCTCCAGGTTCTTTCCCTCACCCTGCCACTGGCATGTGTACGCTGGCAACAGAGGGGCATCATCCAGGCCCTGGGCTCTGCAGGGGGATGGGTGGCTGCTGTGTCTACTCAGGGGGCCTGTGTTTCAGATGTCTCTGAATATATCTTCCATTGTGCCCTCTTTATTTGGGGGAAAGACTTGAGACATCAAAATAACCTTTTAACTTTTAACTTTTAAGTCGCATTGTACCAGGAACCCCATCCTCAGAGGGTCACTCCCTGACCCGGCGCGTATGTGCAGTCAGAAGTGGGCACAGCTGCAGCCACACCTCCCCCTATGCCTTCTCAACCAAGTGCACGAGGCCTCAGTCTTCTCCAAGCTGAGGATCCTGCCAGGGCCACTGCTGTGGTGAGGGTTGTTTGGAGGGTAGGTTTCCTGTAGAACAGAAGTGGGAATCTATGGCACGTGTGCTGGGGGCAGACTCTAAAAGGTTCACCATCGCTACACAATCTCCAGGTATCTGAAGATTGCCAAGTATATTGTAAGCCTGTTCTGCCTTAACCTCTAGCACCTGAGTCCTGCAGTCTCTGGTTGGCCCAGGGGGTGGGGGGGTGGGGAGCTTCAGGCCACCCTCCTCCAGGTGTGTCCCCTTCTCACCTCAGACCCTCACTCTGATTCCTTTGGGCACCGAGGACACAGACTAGGAATGCATTAGGTTTGGGGCACCTAGGCCTGCCTGAGGCTTCCATGGGCCAGCTATACCTGCCCTGGCCTGTCCCTGCTGTGGCGCAAGTGGAAGGCGGCCATCTCTGCTGTGTCACCCATCCTCCTCCATTCCCTAAAGCTATAGCACAGTGCCTGGGGTGCTGGCACACAGTCACCCAGCTCCAAAGCCACCTGGGGAGCAGAACCCTGCCAGGGGCACAGGCCCCTGCCAGGCCTGAGAGGATTCCAGGCAGCTGGCCAGGACAGTATGTACAGTTCTGTTCCAGTCGCTCACCCTCAAGGCTGAGGTGGGAGTAACCTAGCTTCTCACGGGTGCCAGGGACTGAACATCACTGATCCCTCCAAGCCCTTGTTACTGTCCCAAGCATCTCCTTGTATGCGATTGTGTGTCTGTATAGCTGCATGTGGTGGGGGACCCAGTCTAGACAGTGCTGAGCCAGGACCACATATGGATCTTCTGCCTTTGCCCCCCTCCCTTGCAGTTTCTCAAGGCTGCAGGCTATAGGAAGCCACAGCTACCTTGGACAGGGAGGGACATCTGGTGGCTGGGAGAGACAGCTGGCCTCCAGGGTGGGTATTGTGGGGACCACAGTGCAGCGGCAGGAGGTATGGTCCTCTGTTCCTGGGAACAGGGTCCAGCTCAGGCCCAGGAGTAGGTAGGTCAGCGGTTGTAAGGGGGTTTCAATTTGTTCTCTGGGAAGTCACAAAGGCCCAGACTCCCCATGTTGCAAAGGAGGCTGCCAGTGCCCACAACTGAGGGAGAGAACTAAGGAACCAGTTTGTACTGTGACCCTAAAGCTCAGAAGCCAGTGCATATCCTGCTGCACATCATGAGAAAAGAGAGGCCCACCCAAGCATCTGTGCTCTCCCACCCTGACATCAGAGCACAGGGACAGTCGCCATTGTGTCTTTCCTGTGGAGGACATCACTGTTCCTGCCAGGGTCATGCAACTCAGAGAGAATACCCTATTTTCCACATGGTGCATTGGTAGGGTCTCACAGGGCTGTCTCCCATTCAGGGCCTTGAAGATGGGGTGCACGTGGGGACTGAATACCAGGAGTCACTCTCCAGGCACCCACAGCGCAAAGCACAACCCCCAAAAGCTGCATCTGTGCCCCACCTGCAGTGGAAACTCAAGGAAGCCTCCAAGAAAATCCACAACCTCCACCTGCAGAGGGAGCAGCTCATCGAGATGGGGAACCGGCTGCGGGCTGAGCTGGGCCATCCCAAAGGTGAGCAATTCCCTGGGAATGGGACACGATGAGGCCATGTGGGGCTGGGGGGCATGGCAGGAAGGCATGTGTACTGTGTGCCCAGAGCGGGCAATCTGTGGCCATTGCTTCGGAAAGGGAAGCACAGCAGCTATGTACTGAAGCAGAGCTGCCAGCCTCCGCACTAGGACAGGTGTGCTCTGTCCTGCTCTGGGGTCACATCTGTGAGAATGTGGCAGGGAGTCAGCAGAGTGGAGCTTTTCAGGGGGCTGCTCCCCAGTGCTCAGACTGTGGCCTCCCAGACAGTGGCAGCTGTGTCTCCTAATGGAGACCAAGGCTGGGACCAGAGAACTAGATTTCCTAGGAAAGGCAAGTGACACTTGAGCCCCAGGTTCTTGAAGAAAAGATAAATGCTCATGTTCTGAGCCTATAAGACAAGCTGTACCCAGCAATTCCAAGAGTCCTTGGGGAATACCAGCACCCAGGCCTGACAGGGCAAGGGGACCACCAGAATCACAGACCTGTGTAGTCACTCAAACAGAGGCCTGCCCTGCCTGTGTGGCTCTCATCATTGTCCTGAGTGCATGCTGTCTGGAGATACCAGAGTCCATCTGGATTGGCAAGTGTTTCACTCAGGGGCTTAAAGTGCATGCCTGTTCTCACTACCACCTTCCTTCACCCAGACCCCTCTGCCTTTTCCTCCACTTCAGCAAACTTCTGAGCTTCAGGTGATGACCTCAGATGCTATGCTGTGAGGGTGCAATTGGGCCTCCCCGACTGTCTGCTGAACAGCAGGGGAAGCCAGAACAATGTGAAGACATGAGCCTAGACCACTGTCTCTTGAGGTAGAATCCTGTGCATCCCTGAAAAGCCAAGAGCCCTACAAGAGCTTAGCGAGATTAGCACTTCTGCCGTGGACCACCAGAGCTTTTTTTGGTGTGTGGTACTGGGGATTGAACTCAGAATCTTGCACTTGCTAGGCAGGCACTTATATTGCTGAGCTATCTCCCCAGCCCCACCAGAGCTCCCCCCCCCCCAAGAACTGGGGATTGAACTCAGGTCCTTGTACTTGCCAGGCAAGTGCTTACTCTACTGAGCTATCTCCCTCCAGCCCCTACCAGAGCATTTTCACACCAAAAGAAAGGGAAAGATTGGGATGCCTGGTGTCTTTCCCTAGCTTCTGCCTTGGGGGCTGTGGCTTAACACAATGACATTTGTGTCCCGTGGCTACTGGGGAAATCTCCCAATGGGGAACGGCGCTGACCTTGGGCCTAGGGCCCAAGTTTCAGGGAGTGCTCTGCTCCCCGGAAAGGGTGTGGGGCCCCTGAGAAGCCCTAGTATGTGAATGGGTGAGCCACACCTTATTGTAAAATTACCCCATTGTGTGAGCAGGCAGTCAGAGATACTTTGTGCTTTCAGAACGCAGCCCTACAAGGAAAATTTGCCAGTGGCCCTTGTAGTCAGGTGTTGTTTGGTAGGTTTTGACTGTGTCACAGCAGAGAAACAGGCAGAAGGAAAAAGGGAAAGGGACTTTATTATAAAGGGAAAGGGGCTTCATTATCTTAGAGGACACAGAGAATTTGGGAAGATAAGGAATTGTCTGAATTGGAACAAAGGGAGGCTGAGGCTTTTATGGCCTGTTGCCAGGGGTGGGGTTTGAGGGGGATGTTTCCATATACCTAAGGAACTGATTGGGGCCTTCCCTGAGGTGGCGGGAAAGGTGAAAGGAAACTGCATCCTGGGCTGAGTTGGAGAAGAAGGGGGGGGGGGCGCGTCTCTGGGAAGATGAGCTGTTGTTTTAAGGACTTCAGCCGTATTACATGACCACCATAATAATTCAGCAATTCATACTAGGGCCGTAACCTATCATTCCCATCTTTTGGCTGTTATGAAAGGGGCAATGTGTCTCTTAGACTGCTTCCTGTTGAACTGGGGTGTCGTCTTGCGGGGTGAGGGGAGTTGACAGGATGACAGTTCACGCCCAAGTAAAAGTGCCAGGTGTCTCACCTAGGACTAGAACTTTTTCATTTATGATAGCTCACATCGGATACTGCACGTTATGAGTACATGTCATGATTAAGGGACACAGGAGGGGAAGCAAGAGGAGGGTCTATGATCTGACTGTCATTTTGCCATTACCATGTTGAAGAAGAGTATCGATCTTTAGCTTTTTAGTGTGAGGGAAAGGAGTCAGGGTCATCTGTAGTACCACAACACAACAGTATAGATTTTTTTAAAGTAAGCTTTTTATCTCTTGTGTTAGTGTTAAGTGTGTGGAGACATGGAGTCTATCTACCAACTGTGTTGTGTATAGTTGTTTAGAAAGGTAGGCTACTGCCTGAAAAGATGGTTTCTTTTTATGTTGTAAAATGCCCACTGTATTGTGACCCTGAAAAGAAGTACATAGGGTAAAAGGCTGAGTTGGGTTGGGTAAAGAGAGAGCTGGGGCCCTTAGGAGGGCCTGCTGTAGCTATGAAAGGACGAATGTTTAGGAGCAGCAGGGTCAAAGGGCTCTAACTAGGAACATTTTGATGTTTTATAGAGAGGCTGTGCTAAGGAAGCAAAGTTGGGAACCCAGAGGCAGAAGCAATTAGCCGGGCGAAGGAAGGACAAAACCTGTTATTTTGTGGTGGGCACCTGAAGGTCATGAAGAAGGGCTTTGTGATCAGCAGTGATTGCATGAGTAGTGGGAGTGAGGGTGAGTTTTAAATATTTGACTTTTTTTTTTTTTTTTTCTTTTTCCGGAACCAGGGACCGAGCTCAGGCCCTTGCGCTTGCCAGGGAAGCACTTATTCCACTGAGCCATCTCCCCAGCCCCTAGATATTTGATTTTTGATGAAGCTATCTGAGCTTTGGAGGGAGAGACTATATAAGCTGCTCCTGACAGAAAATGGAGAAAAGTAGCTGTTTGTCACAGGGTCAGGGCATGAGAGGGGGAGCAAAGGAAGAGGTCATCGATATATTGAAGGAGTGGCTGGGCTAGAGATCAAGGGTCTCAAGATCAGCAGCAAGAGGTTGGCTAAAGAAGTGAGGACTATCTCTGAACACTTGAGGTAGGACTGTCCATGTGAGCTGTTGAGATCAGAGAGTGTCTGGATAAGTCCATAAGAAGGCAAAGAGGTCCTGACCATCTGGGTGTAAGGGAATGGTGAAGAAGGCATCCCTAAGGTCTAGGACAGTAAAATCAGTAGTGGAAGGTGGGGTACGAGAGAGCATAGTATAGGTGTTTGGCACCACTGGGTGAAAAGGAGTAACCACATTATTAATAATTTTGAGATCTTGAACTCAGCAATAGGAGCCATTGGGTCTGAGTATAGGAAGAATGAAGGCACTACATAGCGAGTGGACAGTTCTAAGAAAACTATTGGTAAGGAGTCAGAGAATGATGGACTTGAGTCTATGTTTGAGGGCTATTGGGTATTGGGGAATGTAGGGAAACGCTGTGGGATCTCTAAGGCACATTAGTCTAGGGACAGCATGTGTGGCATGAGTGGGACTAGAAGTGTCTCTGAGTATGTGGTCAACAAGGGAAGAGGGAGGGAGGAGCTAGCTGTACATTGAAGTTGGGTTTGTAGAATGTACATTGTGGGGGGAGAGAGAGGTGAGAGAGAGAAGTGGAGTTTTTGGAGGAAGTCTCTCCCCATGAGAGGTGTGGGACATATTGGGATCACAAGGAAATTAAGAGTGAAGAACAGGGTCTGAAGTTAGCATGGAATGGGCCTGTCTGAAGGGGTCATGTAGGTCGGCCAATGTAAGCTGGCCATCAACACCCACTATGGAGACTAGAGCTAATATAATGATTTTTTTTTTCACAATTCAGTGTTTATTCTAAGATTAGAGATAGAGTTTAAAGTTCACAAAGAGGGGCCGGGGAGATGGCTCAGTAGAAAAAGCACTTCCCTGGCAAGCACAAGGGTCAGAGTTCAATGCCCGGTTCCACACACACAAAAAATAATAATAATAAAATAAAATGAAAAATAAAGTTTACAAAGAACCATGGAACTATGATTCAATGGTGTTTTTTTTTTCCTGTCTTTTTTTTTTTTTTTTTTTTCAATGGTGTTTTTTTTTTCCTGTCTTTTTTTTTTTTTTTTTTCAGAACCAGGGATTGAACTCAGACCCTTGCACTTGCTTACTGAGCCATCTCCCCAGCCCCAAAATGGCAGAGGATTTTTTTTTTCTCCGAATGCCTTCAGAGTGGGTTTGGCTGGCTTGAGTTGTGGGGATTGAACCACAGCAACCTGAGCCTGACTGCTTTGTTGAAGCAGCCACTTAAAGAACTGAGCTAAGGGGCAGGCCCCCAAGAGCTAATATAATGATTTTAGAACTCAGGAAAAACACTATATGTGGTCTCCGTGTCAGCAAAAACAGTTTTTTTTACCTGAGATTTCCAGGGAGACTCAGGACTCTTGACAAAGGTGCCTCGATGTGGGCCATGGAACCCAAGCAGCTCAAGTATATGGATCTGGCTGTAGCGAGGATTCCTGTGAGGGCAGGGAATTGGATGACTTACCCGCTCTCTGGTGGACAGGGCAGTCGCATTTCCAGTGACCCTCAGGCTTGTGGATGTCCTAGTGATGGCTGCAAGTTGGGGCAGGCTCATGCCCAGTGCCCTTCTTCACTGCACTTGGCTCTGGTGGCAGCATTGTTTAGGCTCAGCATTACCTTGTCAAGGTTGTGCTTTGATGGGAGTCCCAAGTCTCACAGCCAAAAGTTGGCAGTGTGGGGGCTGGGGAGATGGCTCAGTGGAATAAGTGCTTCCCTGGCAAGAGCAAGGGTCCGAGTTCAATCCCCAGTTCCACAAAAAAAAAAAAAAAAAGTTGGCAATGTGTATAGTTAATTTTAGTCTCTATTATTGAAGACATGGGAAGTTAGATTAAGTAAGTTTTCCTGTGGAGTTTGAGGGCCAAGATTTGTCTTTTTAGCTTGGCATGAATGTCAGGAACAAATAGGGATGTAAAATAGGAATTAATAATAATTGTGGTTTTTTGGAGAATCTCGATTTACATTAGTATACTTAA